ACATCTAAAATATTTGGATTTTGTAAAAATATTTCTTGTGGATTTGGTAGTTTTGGAATAATTGAACGAAAGGTAGTGAAATTTAGGCTAGACTTTTTTATTTTAAGGAAATGATGTATACAAGGACGTGACGCGTAAAAAAAAGATCAATCAAGGTGAACTGCAAAAATTTTGTTCACATTGATCGACCTCCTGATCGCATTCTTAATTTTCAATCAATCCAATCTAGGGCTATAAACTGTATAAAATAAATTTCATAAAATTGAAAAACATTTTCTTTATATGGAACGGTCTTACCTGGAGGTGGAACCAAAAATATTTGAGACATCATAAAGGTAAACGTTGCGGTAGCAGCTACGTAGTGTACACAAGGAAGGGAGAAGCCTGAGTGTCAGTAACGAACATTAAATGGAAAAAAACTTAAATATTTTATTTTTTGAAAGGAAAGATAGAAATTTAAGTATTACGAATAGTTGGGATTGATTAATCAGAGAATTTATGTTACTAAGCATGGTGTCACAACGGTTAATTTAACCAAATCATAAATAACGGTTATTTTATCCCGCTTTGCTTTTTTCCTCTTCCGTTTATACAAAAATTGCTGACCTTGATTTAACATAAGAAAAAAAAATCTTTACGCACCCTCTTCATTAATAATCCTATTATGAGAACTGAAAGGGAGAAAATTATTCCTACCCGTAAAGACAATGGGGAGGTACTTAATTATTTGAAAAAACTCCTAAAGCCTGGTATGTTCTCACACAGAGATTCGAACTTAATATAAAATAATGTGGCTTGACTTTTTGATATCCGTAGCTTTTATTGTCATATTAATAATATTTTCCGATATATAGAAATATCTACCATTTATAACTTTTCAGTGACATCTCTTGAACCTATTTGCAGGAAAAGAAAAAAGAGATGTCATAAAACTCATCAACGTCGTCCTTCATCCTCTCCCATAAGAAGAGAAAGAAAAAGAAGAGGTAAAGAAAAAATTATTAATTTTCTTAATGTTCGTGAAAAAGTATTATTCATAATGGATTAAAAAATTTTATTTGTTTTCAGGAACGCGTATTATAAAATTGATATATTTAATTTATATGTATTAAAATAATTTATTTGTATGTTGTTAATTCAATATATGTATGAAACATAAAAGTTTCACTTTATTACAAAGCATATTACAAATAAATTGAATCTTACCTCGCGTTAAAAGTAAGGTAATTAATTAATTAATTTAAATAATCATATGCTTTTAAATGATTTTTCATAGATACCTGGGTTTTTATCCTTGAAAGTGCTAAAAAAAATAGCAATAGCAAAAAAATTTTATTCAAAGAAACAAAATAATAATAAAATTTTTATTCAAAGAAACAAAATAATGATTAAATGTCTGAGATCGCGATAATGCCATTTTCGAAAACTTTCTTAAAAGTGAAATTCCTCAAATCGAATATAACTAAGAATGTCCCATTACCATTAAAATACCGCTTAAAATACCTGTACCTGCTACCTCTCAAGGTGATTCGTCCATCGCTCTTAATACACAATTATCCTGAAGGCAATACATAAAGCAAAAAATACTTTGCTAGTACTTCCGGGGACTTATTATGTTGTAATTGGGGTTTTTACTTTTTTAACATCACGCAAGGAAATGACATTGAAGTAATTGAAAATCTAGTTACACTGATGACATACTTATGTTGCGCGCTCATTGCATGAACAACGAAATTCGACAAATCCGTATTGTTTTTCCATTATTCTTATGAAGCACAATCAAGGGTTTCGATCACGATATAATGAAAATGAAGAACTTTCACTCTTGTCACCACATTAAAAAATCCAACGCCATCAATTTTCCAATAATTGCATCATTCCATATGGTACTGGACTTAGACTTCTTTTACTTCTTTCACTTAAACCAACCTTGATATAGACAGATTCGCGGGACTTGGAATCGGCGGGATATTAATCATATAAAGGATTACTTTAGTAAACTAATTGATTTTGACAGAAATTTATAGTTACTTTCGTGTCGATTTCGGTCTATTGTCACTTGTGTAATAAGAGGTAAAGAGGTTCATGAATAAATAAAGCTAAAATTTAAGCTTTTGTCGAGAAAAAAAAGCTTTTTATTACAATTGAAGTTATATATAAAATGTATAGAAATCCATAATTTTTTTTGATATTCGTAATATTTTAGTTTTACTTTATAAAATACAATTGAGATCTTTTTATCGTTTTTATCGTTTGTGTAATGAACCTATAATTAATTAGGAAAATTTGCCCGGAAATTAACTATAGATTTTCTATCGATTTATCAGGATCACGAATTAATGTGTTAAGAATTAATTATATAGGAAATAAAGTATAGTAACTAGAAAGTATTTAGATCTTTAAAAAAAAATTAATTTTGCTCAAGAAAACATTTTTTCAGATATTTGTATTCGATACACTTGATTACAAGCTCATTTGCAAGAAACGAAACGCGAAGAGAAAAAGTAAAGTTAAACAAAGTTATAATAATGTAACAATAATTATAATCTAACAGATAAAAATGACAAACCGATAATAAATACCAAAAGGAACCCATTGAATCATTGAAATTATAAGATGTGGTGACATCATAAATCAATTAAACCGATTACCAATTCCGTGTCGTTGTAATTGTTAATAGTCTTTTTTGGAAAGGAGTCGAGTTTCTTTTTACCATAAGCAGAGGTGAAGCTTATATCATAAATACGTATAACCTGCGTGAGAAATATCAACAAACAAGTTCGTTTAGACAGTGATATAACATCCCGATATACCTATATGATATATATTACTTTATTTATACACACTGCAGTCTCTTTCTCACTTATACCGTTGATAATATTTGCAACAAATAATTTGTATTTCTCTTCCGTATTCTTTTCAAACTCTATGTACTGTATATCTTCCTGACAACAAATTCAGGTCGCGCATTCTAATTCTCAACAACTTTTATATGTCTGTAACTAAAAAATTTAACGAAATAAAAAAAAGTGTTAGCAAATAAAACCTTTGAATAAAATCAACTTATTTTGTTATTTATGTTGTTTATGGAATATATACTCGCCACATACTAGACTTCTTCAATTCAACATACGTTAACGTTGAAATACTTTAACGGGGTCTGCTACAAGAGTTTTTTTGAATCAGTTCTCAGAGTTAGTTTACATTCAAAAGGTATGTGATTAATATTCTGAGAGACTTGTCTTATGGTGTTTTCTATGCTAACTATGAAATCCAATTTTAAGAACAACGTCTGTTTAAGAGCACAACTGGGAAATTGGACGAACAAGAATTAGAATGGAAGGTAAATGGAAGAGTTGAAGAGTTAATTGTTTAT